TATATATATATATATATATATATATATATAAGTCTATATATATCACGCACACACACACCTCACACACATATACACACACACACACACACGTATATATCTATATATATATATATATACATATGTACATGTTTACGCACATATATGCAATACATAATATTAAACGCGGAATATATGCAGACGTGTGTCAAGGCGTCAAAGCGTATAACACGTATACGTACATAATCAACATGATGCACGCACACAAGTATGACTAATAACTTCAGTCCCCACCCCTGCATCTCACGATTGATATACATACTGTATATGTCTGCACATGTTCGCGAGTCCTCTGTGCAAAATTACCTATGGTCATATCCCCTTCTCTTCAACACATTTACAGAAGCATTTGAGGTATCCCCTCTTACACTCAGGAATACGCGATTGCAATCACCTAGGAGCTTATATCATACTAAAACACACACACCTTGGCTTCATACATCTGGCCTTGGTGTTGGCAGAGAAGTGTTTCTCCAACCGAATGTTTCGTCGTCATGTTTGTTGGAAATAGATGCACCGATACAGATACACTCACTTGCGCTTCTGTCTATTACTAGGAGAAGAGGTTTATTGACATGCTTGTTGACGTCGAATCATAAGTGTATTACGAGAACAACAATATATGCAGCTATATTGGAGATACACACCCGAACAGAGCATGTGCATGTATTTAAAATAAAAAAACGAAAGAGAACCTTCGAGTTTTGATGCCTCACATTCACCCGCCCACAGCTGGCACAGTACCAGCACTAACCACATTGCGTTTTGCGGTAAAACGTATACGAATCAATACTCCTTTTATAACAGTTTACGTTCAACGTTAAAAATACATTTCAAATGTCAATGATGAGGGTGTGCGATACTTTGTACCACGAGACCTAAGATACTTTGCCCTTCTATATTTCATAGGGTGGGACCACTGGCCCCTGCGGCTTGGGCCCTGAGGCTTGAAGTTGAGAGGTCAGGGCCTGAATCGGTTGGCTGTTGAGTTCCCAAGACGTTCAGGGAGTGGCGGTATGATTTACAGCCTTGAACCGGGGCCCGGGTTGCTTTCGAATTTGGTTTTGGCGCGACAATGTGTATGTATAATTTTCGGGTACATATTTATTACGCGACATTACATATGTAAATTTTATTATTATTACTATTTAACGTGAGCCGTGATGTGCGAGGCTGTGAGAGTTGAGAGTTGAGAGTTGAGACTGTTGAGCTTCAGTGAGGCTGTTATAGCGTTTTGCAAAAATATGTATAAAATGCACTACATATATGCTTACGGGATTACATATACAGATACATATACATATACGCATACATGTACATATACATATACAAATAAGTATACTTTTGCATATACATATACTTATACATTTACATATACGTATACGTATACGTAATCCTTTACCTGTACCTATACCTGCACCTGTACCTATACCTGCACCTGCACCTGTACCTATACCTGTACCTGTACATCTACCTGACCTGCACACGTATCTGTACCAGTACCAGTACCTGTACCTGTATCCGTACCCTTACCATTACCCGTACTCGTACCCGTACCCGTACCTGCATCTGTACCTGTACCTGCACCTGCACCTGTACCTGCACCTGTACCTGTACTTGTACCTGTACCCGTACCTGTACAAACATTTACGTATATACATATATAAA